GCCCCCAGCGACTACTTCCTGTTCTCAGATCTCAAAAGAATGCTCGTTGGGAAAAAATTTTCGTCGAATGAAGAGGTGATCGCCGAAACTGAGGCCTATTTTGAAGCAAAGGACAAATCGTACTACAAAAATGGTATCGAAAAGTTGGAGGATCGCTATAATCAGTGTATCACCCTTGAAGGGAATTATGTTGAATAGAAAAAACGAATTTTGCAAAAAAATTGTGTTTTACTATTTTAGGCCGGGGACTTTTCAATTGACCTGTTATTTCCTTTACAAACTGTACTCTTCGAAGTCTAAAAAATTCATTGTAAACTCCTCTAAATTAGTGATAACGTGTTCTTCTCAGAACGTTTAAACTGTAGATGAACGGGATAGTGACGCTGCAAAACCACTACAGTTAATCGTTCATGTCTTCGTTCTGAAGGGCTCTCCATTGAATACCACCCTCACCAACACCCAAAAGCACATTAAGTCCCGTTCAAAAAGTCGTTTAAACACTATAGCAATGAAATTTTAATTCTTGGTTAGCGGATTTTCAACGAAAGGGTTGAGTTGAAACGAGCACAAGAACTACATGGAAATAACAAATAATTGAGTATAATAATTAATAAATAATGTCGCAAGGTAAATTGTTACTTTCAGTTTTTCGTTAATTATTTATTTTAATTACCTGATTATAATGTGTTTTTATTATTTTGTCGTGACTGGACGAAAGGTATTAAAATGATAAGAAAAGCGAGATTGGAAAACAATAACAACTTTATTATATGGTAAAGTGAAATAGATATGAAGTTCAAAAAGATACAAATTACAAATGCATTTAGAGTTAGTTGTCAAGTAATTTAGGTAGATAACATCACAAATGAAAATTGAACAAAAATGTTTATAAAGAAAGGATTTTCCTTTCAATGCAGATCAATACACCTTAAAAGTTAACAAAACAACGTTGATAGGAGCGTTACAATCATTTTGACCAGGAGGTAGTGCCACCAACGCTAAGGGTAGAATCTTTTCGTTAACGCGTTTCCAAGTCAAATAGACCATCGATCCCCGTTCACGCGCTAAACTTATTGATGAATCAGTTAATATTTGTACATAGTTCAACATGGATCATTGAGTGGTTCTAGAAGTGTCTTTAATTTAACTGATTTAGTGAAAACTAACTACGTTAGAAACCTTCTTTGTCTTTTTCGATGACTTCGTAAAGGTCTATAATTTTCAAACTAACCAAAACTAACGAACTTGCGTTAATTTCTGCTTGTACATTGATAATTCTTTGAAAAAGTTCTTTCCGCTTATTGTTTCGTTGCTGCAGAATGCAAGTAAATGAACTCGATATCTGTTTTATGAATTTTGCAAAAATTGTAACCTTATAACTATGAAATATTAAATTAATTTTGAAATATGTTTTAAACTCTAAAATAGTTTTTGAGTTTCCTTAGAACCCCACTGCGTGACAATAACACAAATTAGGAAAAACGACCTATCCTAATAAAATCATAAGTACCAATTTTCGTTAGGTAGGTTTTCATTATAATTACCAACTTATTATTGCTGGTGTTGGTTTTTCTTTTTTCTTTGGTAGAATTACTAGGCATTATCGGGTACACGGTGTCATTATCTGGTACTCGACCGGATCCTAAAAAAAAATGAGTAATGGAGCAATGGATCTAAATCGGGTACCCGGCCCATCTCTAGTTTAAATTAAATTTTTTTATCTTTTGTAATTTTCTTAAACGCTTCGAGCATTTTAGTGCTAATAAGTAATAACAATTTTAAGGCGTAGTCTATCAGCAAGAGCGTATGATATGATAGATAATAAACTGTAGATCATAAAGCTGAAAGGATTCGGCCGTTTCGTTTACGATAGGACTTGTCAAGGGCTTGCATAAACTAGAAGGAAATCTCTTCTTCATATTATTGAAAAAAATACCTCGAATCCATAAAAATAACGATAAAACTGAAGGTTTACGTAAATCCTCGTTCCTTTTTTCAGTTTTATCACTCGGAGCCAGGGATCAGTTCGAGATCGCTCCCATACTGGGGGTGTTAGTAGGGGTGGTGACGGCTCTTCTGCTCGTATCGGTGTTGATTGTAGCCGCCTTAAAAATTCGATCTACTCGGAACAGCGGCTCACACGCACTAAGGCCCGGATTTTTGGCCGTCAAAGAAAAAGCTACTCTACCCTTGAGATCCGAATCCGAAGATTTGTTTGAAAAGGATGATAAGAACCCTGACATCATACCTGCTAACAAAGGTTTGTCACAAGTAATCGTTTCTCCAATTTTTCCACTGCCATTTCTTATTCGCATATTTACTCTTTTCGATATGAAAAATCAAAGTATCTATCTATCTTTCTATTTTGTTTCTTCTATTCGTATATTTGGTTACTATTTACATCACAATCATTAAATTTACTTGTTATTTTTCTTTTGAAATGGTCATTCTGAGTCTATTAAAAATTATAACAATTACACAGAAATTAATACCCAAATTTGATTTTGAGTTTATTTTTAATTGTGAGACCAATTTAAAAAATAAAATCGGTCATGAACTGATCGAACGCTAACGAGTGCCGTTTATTACTAATCATTACGTACAATTGACTTGTCAACGTATCAGCTGTTTGCGAAGGTCACGAATAGGTATCTGTGTTTCTTCGAAAGACGATAAAATAACGCGATAACTTTCCTCAATCATTGAGACTTTTTATATCCTCTACGCTGTGGTGGTATGACGAGATGCACTCTACAGTACCTCCAGATGTTATCCTTTAAATATTCCGAAATACTAGTCAGACATATTGTATTCACGTATGTGCCAAGTATCTGTGTAGTTGACTGTTATATCCCGATCGTACCTACATACCTGTTGGAAGTTATTTGACGCGTTTAATGCCCGGTTGTTTCCTGTCGAATAGACTCGGACTATCAACTGGGGTCAGCTGCACAAACTCCTGGACTGAATAATTCAACGGCGTCCGCTAACTATCAAATGCCGCAGAGTCAACACATTACACCCATATCGGAAGCTTACCTAGCCAGGGACCAAACCTACTCGCCACAAGCGGTACGTAATTTACTGTGTTTACTTTTGAAATGCCCATCTTTGTTTTGTGCTGCATTCACTGAAACGTGCCCTGAAGTATTTATTAAGAGCCTCGGACACGCTATATCGCGATCGATCTCATTAATTTTAATGGTCGCAAGTCGATATGATACTACGGAATGGACGGTGGGACACAGCGCGGCGCCCGTCACCGTCTTCACCCTAAATTCTGTCCAGTCAGAAAATTTCCCGGATGCTGCAATTTCTCCTTTAATTGTTCGAAAGAAAAAGATGAAATAAATATAAAGGAGACTGTGGCGTATTGATAAACAAAAAGAAAGGTCTTACCCCAACTAACCACAACAGTTTAAAAAAACGACTCGGACACGTGTTTCGCTCACTATTGTGGTTAGCTGGGGTAAGAACATTCTTTTTGTCTAAAGACACCTTTCTTTTTGTTCAAAGAGATCTAATACAAAAAAATAATTTGGCGCAAAAAAGAAAGACATTTTTCTTTCATTAGTTAGTATTTAAGGAAATTTAAAAAGTGCAAGTAACTTTTAAAAAAACAAAGATACAAAGAACATCTACTCCAACTGTACCCGAAATAAAAATGTTCAGTCTCTCAGAGTCTCTGAAAGCGAGACTCGAGTCTCTCTGGAGTCGCTGAGAGAGACTGTCGAGAGACTTACAAAAGCTGTTTAGCGACTTAAATTATCAAATTTGAATTAATTTCCCACAAAGTCAATAAAAGAAGAAGAAAAACAATTTCCGAAATTTGGTAATATCCCAATTTTATTATTTTATCTTACCTGTAAAATCCCTAAATTTAAACTACTAATTAATTAGAAAAAGAACAAGTCATTTTCATTTGCTCATGGGGTTTGCACATCCACGTTATTTTATTTTTTTTTTGCATCATTTTTTGGTTTTCTAACGTCTACAACTTTTTTATTTTAGGGGCGTTACACACCATTTCGGGATGTTTTCTAATTACATATTTTATTTTGTAAGTTTTTTTATTTTTTTTTTGCTTGCTTTGTCATTCATATAATTTTCTGAAAAATGCATTCCTAAAAGCATCATAAACGACAGAAAATCATTTCCACTTGTCTTTCAAGGGACTACTAATTATATAATGTTTGAAAGCGTGTAACGAGAAGTCGTGTCTTTTGATTTCCTTTTTTTTTATTTTCTTGGTGATTTAAGCAAAAATTACTCATAGTGACTGTGAAGCGGTTTGAGAGCTTTTCAAAGAAAATGTGTTAATTACACGAACCAAATCTAAAGTCAACAGCTTGGAAAACCAGAAGCATTAAAGTAGTAAAAGCAAATAAAGTTAGTAGTGCCAGTTTCAATAGATTTTCCAGGTGGCTTTCTACGCGTTCAAGCCACAATTTTCTTCTTGTTAGAACTTCCTTAACTTAAAGAAAACTGCTTTAACAATACTTACTTTTACTATACAAAAGATCCTTTATTACTTAGATTTATAATGTGAACGCACTCAGGTTTGCTTTCCATCTGGTAAATTGTTGAAACAATTTATAACTTCAAAAGTATTGTTGAATTTTACAAAAGCATCCCCATCATTTTGTCTATGAAAATATCGACATTCGACATTGTCCGATTTAAATTATAAATCATTATTTTTTTACCATTGAGACCATTTAAGACAATAGTTTCTTTTCGTAGGAATCTAAATATAATAACTTGTCAAAATTACAATATTTCAGAAGTTCTAATTTCACTCGCTGTATCATATTTTGAATTCCCTCTAATGTGCTTGTTTTACAAAACCAATATTTACAAGAGCTACCTATATATATATATTAATGAAACACTTTCACTAATTATCAAGAATAAAACTACTTACTTATTACAGTTGTCGAATTTTCTTAGTATATGTTTCAATAAAATCTCTATATTTTATTTAAAAGTTAATTTTCTTTTATTCAATTCTAAAGTAACTTGAATGTTTAAATTTTAAAAAAACAGGCACATTTGCAGATTGTTCTTGGATTGCTTTAAAAAATTAACACGAAATTAACCCTAAATCTTTCCATAAATTTTTAACTTGGCTAAAGTTAAAGGCACCCTAAATAAAACAATTCACACCTATTTGAATTTAAACAATATTTTTCATTTTCAATCTCTCACATTGCAATTTCACAAGCGCAGTAACCAATTTTATATCAAGTCCACCAAATTGAAAAACACCGTAACAAAAAACGAAATTGTCGATTTAATGTTCCAATAAAATTTGTAGACCGGGTAATAGCAACGTTTTCGAAATTAAGTTCACAACAAAAATTGCCAATTAATTATAACGCGATAGTCTGGTGTTTTGAAATGTGTAATACGAATAGTTTTCCAGCAACAAGTTAAGTAACAAAAAAAATAGGGATGCAAGTAGGACTTAATTAATTTTTGACCACTTTTTAACCTGTTTTATTACTAATAAAGTGCATAGTTTACGACATCATCCACGAAGTTCACTTGCCGACATGATGCCGACACTAAATTGTGCATAACACGATTATTTGTAAATAATAATAATTAAACTTTAAGATTAAATTTCAAATGAGGACGTCCTGAATTAGCCAATCAGGTCGTTTCATATTTCTAAAAGGGTTTGGCACCGTCATTTACGTATTTGGAATCCTATAAAACTTGTTTAGTTTCAACAATTTATTGGCTCTCAATCTCCCCTTGAAATGACGTCATGCGCGTGCGAGAGCGATTTTAGTCGGCACAGTATACTTCATTACTTTCTGTAGCGATGTGCCCTTTCCAATGTCTTGGATGCGCGCTGGAAAAATCGTAGGTAGAGAGAGAAAAGCTCATTATACTCTCGACTCTTGTTCATTAAACATACTTTTTCATACAGTACCTGCCAAAATTTTTGTTCAATCATGAATAGTAGTGCGAGTCGAATACAAGCGTTGAAGCCTTTAATATGTCTTCAAATATAAATAAACATCTCGTTGATATTTTCAGTAGTAAATGGTACCAATAACGGCACATTTGAGCAATGTAATTGTAGTGCATAAAATGGTCAATTTTTCCGTGCAGTACTGTACGGATTATACGCTCCTCACCGGTTAAGAGTTTGTCCGAGAGTTGTATCCTTCCTTTTCTGGCCTAGTGCTGTTCTTTTCTGGTTTACGCCGGTTAAACTGAAGGTCACATCGCTACAGAAAGTAAACGAAGTATAGCAAGTAATTGTAGGTAGCATTGTGAAAATTTGGTATAAGTCACCTTCAAAAAGGATGTGAATTCCATATGCGCCTCTTCCGCACCTTTTACTACATATGTAAAAACAGAAGAGGATAGTAAAGAGTCCTTATGTTCCATAGCTAAAGGACATTCATATGACTCAACCCTCTACGTTTTTCATTTCCATTCTGAACATTAATCTCTATTATCTATTATATACTTTTTTATTGTGCATATATAAACTTGCTGCTTGCAATGTGATGTTGTGATACAAGAAACTTTCATTCCTTTTAGTTTATCCTGCAGTTAGTTCGCCAGTCTGCTATTGCCCCGCTGTCTACACGGCTTGTTTTTTGTTTCCGCCGTGATTACGAGTCTGCAATTGATTTCAAACTTTACTTTTGCAGACCAATAAAGAAGTAACTTACGCGGAACTGCAACTGGTTCGGCCCAACTCTCTAGAACCGCTTCGTAACGGAGATAATCAATGCGGTGGCGGGATGGTTAACAAAGAGAATTCTGTAATCTACGCCCAAATTGATCATACGAAAAGGGCCCCCCCAGGCTCGCTACGGATGTCTGTCACATCACCCCTGACTTCGCCCGTTTCCTCTCTCTTCTGCCCGATTAAACCCACCGCATACCACAGAGAAATCGTAACGGTAAGAACCCCTTTGATGGGATGTCAGCAGGAGAGCTGTGTTTGACTTTAACGGTTTCGAACGGTTCTACCTACCACGTGGTGGTTTTGGATTTATCAAAGTGCGTGTGTTGTTTTGTAAACTCGCAGTGTAATATTATATAATTATAGACAAAAAATAATTGAAAACTGAAGAGCCGATTTTAACCGCTGCGCCGGTTTTTGTTCCAAGTTCTTTAATTGTTTTCTTCGGTGAATGATAAATATAGAAACTGATACTGTTACGAAAAAGGTTTTGAAGAGGGCCCAATCTATTCAGAGAAACTGTAGAACGTCGTTTAATGAAATTATATAGAAGTCTAACGTACTATTTATTACTTAAGTAAGTGTAAATACCTAAACTAATAAGTTACCAACTAACTCAAATTTTTTCATCAGTACTACTCAAAGTACTCCCTATTTAATACAACTGTTAAATAGTCGTGATTGGGAATAATAATGATAATGAAACACGTTAATATTTTCTACTAACATATCAGTTTGAGTGTGAACTTATATATTTGTAAATGAAAATGTTGCTTGGATTTCGAATCAACCCTTAATGTTCAAGTAGGTATCATTTTTTATTTGTTGTATTTTTCAATCATAGACAACGAAGCTTTCTACCTTAACATCACTGTTAGATATTCGACAAGAAATTTCTAAATCTGGAAGTCCCGATTCCAAATTGTTTTAGTTTCTGCAGAATTGGTAAGTGGATTTATATTTTCTTTTTCTAATCTACCTTGACCTCAACTGAACATTTCGCTTACTCGTTTGAGTTTTTTCAAGTTAAATATTGAAACAACAACTGAAGTAACATTACATAACTTTAAAATAGGAAACGAATGGACAATATCTTTAACTAAATTTCTTGTTAAGTTAGATCTTGACAAATATCTCGTAAAAACTCAGAACGAGTGACATATCTATTATAATCTACTAAAGGTTATTTACCTGAAAATTCTAATTTGTTTTTACAAATATACGTATATACCTGAGGGAAGTAATTTAGTTTTCAGCTTGGAAAACAATTTACTTTCAGCGGACTTTCATAAATATGTATATTGAGTAGATACGTATAATATCTCTCAACTTCGGTACAGTTGTTTTCGTATGCAATTTATTTAGTCGACAATTACAGAACGACTTCGGCGTGCAATGTCCCTAGGGATGTGTTTCAACTGTTTTGCTCGAAAAGGTGATGGCTTAAATTTAATCTTTGTGACAAATATAACACACATATCGTATATTTAGTCTTCGTTAGCTATTCTATTATTTGTTGTGTTCAACTTTTACTTTGGCATCCGCAAATTTTCTTTTACTATTTGAAGATTCAATGGTACAACTGATCAACTGATGTAGAACAATGAAACATAGATATATATATATTAATGAAACACTTTCACTAATTATCAAGAATAAAACTACTTACTTATTACAGTTGTCGAATTTTCTTAGTATATGTTTCAATAAAATCTCTATATTTTATTTAAAAGTTAATTTTCTTTTATTCAATTCTAAAGTAACTTGAATGTTTAAATTTTAAAAAAACAGGCACATTTGCAGATTGTTCTTGGATTGCTTTAAAAAATTAACACGAAATTAACCCTAAATCTTTCCATAAATTTTTAACTTGGCTAAAGTTAAAGGCACCCTAAATAAAACAATTCACACCTATTTGAATTTAAACAATATTTTTCATTTTCAATCTCTCACATTGCAATTTCACAAGCGCAGTAACCAATTTTATATCAAGTCCACCAAATTGAAAAACACCGTAACAAAAAACGAAATTGTCGATTTAATGTTCCAATAAAATTTGTAGACCGGGTAATAGCAACGTTTTCGAAATTAAGTTCACAACAAAAATTGCCAATTAATTATAACGCGATAGTCTGGTGTTTTGAAATGTGTAATACGAATAGTTTTCCAGCAACAAGTTAAGTAACAAAAAAAATAGGGATGCAAGTAGGACTTAATTAATTTTTGACCACTTTTTAACCTGTTTTATTACTAATAAAGTGCATAGTTTACGACATCATCCACGAAGTTCACTTGCCGACATGATGCCGACACTAAATTGTGCATAACACGATTATTTGTAAATAATAATAATTAAACTTTAAGATTAAATTTCAAATGAGGACGTCCTGAATTAGCCAATCAGGTCGTTTCATATTTCTAAAAGGGTTTGGCACCGTCATTTACGTATTTGGAATCCTATAAAACTTGTTTAGTTTCAACAATTTATTGGCTCTCAATCTCCCCTTGAAATGACGTCATGCGCGTGCGAGAGCGATTTTAGTCGGCACAGTATACTTCATTACTTTCTGTAGCGATGTGCCCTTTCCAATGTCTTGGATGCGCGCTGGAAAAATCGTAGGTAGAGAGAGAAAAGCTCATTATACTCTCGACTCTTGTTCATTAAACATACTTTTTCATACAGTACCTGCCAAAATTTTTGTTCAATCATGAATAGTAGTGCGAGTCGAATACAAGCGTTGAAGCCTTTAATATGTGTTCAAATATAAATAAACATCTCGTTGATATTTTCAGTAGTAAATGGTACCAATAACGGCACATTTGAGCAATGTAATTGTAGTGCATAAAATGGTCAATTTTTCCGTGCAGTACTGTACGGATTATACGCTCCTCACCGGTTAAGAGTTTGTCCGAGAGTTGTATCCTTCCTTTTCTGGCCTAGTGCTGTTCTTTTCTGGTTTACGCCGGTTAAACTGAAGGTCACATCGCTACAGAAAGTAAACGAAGTATAGCAAGTAATTGTAGGTAGCATTGTGAAAATTTGGTATAAGTCACCTTCAAAAAGGATGTGAATTCCATATGCGCCTCTTCCGCACCTTTTACTACATATGTAAAAACAGAAGAGGATAGTAAAGAGTCCTTATGTTCCATAGCTAAAGGACATTCATATGACTCAACCCTCTACGTTTTTCATTTCCATTCTGAACATTAATCTCTATTATCTATTATATACTTTTTTATTGTGCATATATAAACTTGCTGCTTGCAATGTGATGTTGTGATACAAGAAACTTTCATTCCTTTTAGTTTATCCTGCAGTTAGTTCGCCAGTCTGCTATTGCCCCGCTGTCTACACGGCTTGTTTTTTGTTTCCGCCGTGATTACGAGTCTGCAATTGATTTCAAACTTTACTTTTGCAGACCAATAAAGAAGTAACTTACGCGGAACTGCAACTGGTTCGGCCCAACTCTCTAGAACCGCTTCGTAACGGAGATAATCAATGCGGTGGCGGGATGGTTAACAAAGAGAATTCTGTAATCTACGCCCAAATTGATCATACGAAAAGGGCCCCCCCAGGCTCGCTACGGATGTCTGTCACATCACCCCTGACTTCGCCCGTTTCCTCTCTCTTCTGCCCGATTAAACCCACCGCATACCACAGAGAAATCGTAACGGTAAGAACCCCTTTGATGGGATGTCAGCAGGAGAGCTGTGTTTGACTTTAACGGTTTCGAACGATTCTACCTACCACGTGGTGGTTTTGGATTTATCAAAGTGCGTGTGTTGTTTTGTAAACTCGCAGTGTAATATTATATAATTATAGACAAAAAATAATTGAAAACTGAAGAGCCGATTTTAACCGCTGCGCCGGTTTTTGTTCCAAGTTCTTTAATTGTTTTCTTCGGTGAATGATAAATATAGAAACTGATACTGTTACGAAAAAGGTTTTGAAGAGGGCCCAATCTATTCAGAGAAACTGTAGAACGTCGTTTAATGAAATTATATAGAAGTCTAACGTACTATTTATTACTTAAGTAAGTGTAAATACCTAAACTAATAAGTTACCAACTAACTCAAATTTTTTCATCAGTACTACTCAAAGTACTCCCTATTTAATACAACTGTTAAATAGTCGTGATTGGGAATAATAATGATAATGAAACACGTTAATATTTTCTACTAACATATCAGTTTGAGTGTGAACTTATATATTTGTAAATGAAAATGTTGCTTGGATTTCGAATCAACCCTTAATGTTCAAGTAGGTATCATTTTTTATTTGTTGTATTTTTCAATCATAGACAACGAAGCTTTCTACCTTAACATCACTGTTAGATATTCGACAAGAAATTTCTAAATCTGGAAGTCCCGATTCCAAATTGTTTTAGTTTCTGCAGAATTGGTAAGTGGATTTATATTTTCTTTTTCTAATCTACCTTGACCTCAACTGAACATTTCGCTTACTCGTTTGAGTTTTTTCAAGTTAAATATTGAAACAACAACTGAAGTAACATTACATAACTTTAAAATAGGAAACGAATGGACAATATCTTTAACTAAATTTCTTGTTAAGTTAGATCTTGACAAATATCTCGTAAAAACTCAGAACGAGTGACATATCTATTATAATCTACTAAAGGTTATTTACCTGAAAATTCTAATTTGTTTTTACAAAATTTAAAATACCACGCAGAAAAATGAAGGTCCACTTAATTTCTTTGTAACTCAATCTTTGAAAAAATATTAATTTGCCACTCGATACGTATTTCATCAGGAGCAACAATTATAATTTTTAACATCAAAATTCCATCTACTTATTCAAATGGCGTAGCAAAGAAACTAAAGATTTCATAAAATCGTATTGTGAATTTTCACAGTGTGGAAACTACAAATGTATTATACCAGAAAATTTTTCTGTTTAAAATTAATTTAAAAAAAATTGTTAAAATTTTCTTTTACTGTTTAATATAAAAACTAGTTAAAATGTTTGCGAAACCCAAGCGACATTTCTGATACAATTTTTTTAATTGTATTTAAAAAAGAGGTAACTGAGATTGTATCAGGGGCGGAATGCGCCCCATCGTCTAGTCGATTGCGCAAACAGTGTTATTATTTAATTAAAGAGTTTATTGAAAGACTGAAGTTTTTGTATATCATTTATGAATACATTTATCTTTCCAATATTGTATATGTCTTGCACGTAAGTGTACGTCTTGTAAATACACATATCTCTCTTACATAAAAGATGTTCTTTTATTGGAAAATGTGATAACTAACCGTATTAAAAAGAGAAATAAGGCCATCAATAAGGCTGGGGTTAATTTTTTTCTTTCTCATTGTGGCAGATGTGTGTATGTTACCGGGCTGTGTAACAGTACAACCCATCAAAAATGAATGTTCTTTGACCACTATTCTTGTTGTAACTTAATGGTCTTCAAATATAATTTCATAAAAATTTATTCTTAATTATTTTTTTTATGACTTTCGATCCTACTTATACACACGTATATACTTCTCCATTGCAATATTTGCTTGTTTCTGGCACATTTATTTTGTCATTCTTAACTCACTCTACAGGCCATGTGTCTAATTGTAAATAGGCAGACAGCCCAAACGAAACAAAGAATAGATGCAGTAGGTGAAAGTCTTTATTATTCTTTCTTAAATTACGTCAATCGAGGCGGTGGCTCAAAAATTTACACAATTGCAAATCTTGATATACGTATAGCGCGTTTTAGAAAATACCACAAATGGCGCGGTAAACGCCATCTCTAGTACGATGCTAAAGCGCGCTGTTAAGACAGCAGGTAAAAGTTGGTCTGTGTTCTGTCGGAGCTGTCTGCGACGCGCTGATGAGATCCAAAAAGATCGAAATCGCGATCCGCGTCTGGCAGTTTCGACAGAATACAGACCGCTTCGAATTATTTTATTCGATTATGGTAACGTGCCTATCACGTTGAGGTTAGCTACGCCGGGATTCGTTTCAGCAAGTAGATATTCATATATTTAAATGGACCTTGTTGGAGCATACGTAATCCTAAAATGTAGCATCGTACTACAGATGGCGTTTACCGCGCCATTTGTGGTATTTTCTTGATGTACGTTGCTCAATTCCCAACGGAAGGGCACGTCATTAGGAACAAAAGGGATAACTGGCGTGAATGAATAAGACGATTTGTCCAAAGTTTTTTAACTAATCAAAATATATACTTCATGTTTTGTATAATAATTTTTGCCTACCTATCCGACACTATTCCAATCAGGTAGGATCATTTTAGGTGTGGTGTTATAGGACGGTGTTAAAAGGCTGTTTAAAAACGTAATTCCCCCTATTATTCCAACATATCACCGTAAAATTTGTCAATATTTTAATTGGCACATTATAATCTGATACCTTCTGATTCTTGGACTGTTACAACAGATTTACTATTCCATTATTTTGATTATAATATTTTTTATTTTAATATTATTTATCACCTTCAAAAAGGATGTGAATTCCATATGCGCCTCTTCCGCACCTTTTACTACATATGTAAAAACAGAAGAGGATAGTAAAGAGTCCTTATGTTCCATAGCTAAAGGACATTCATATGACTCAACCCTCTACGTTTTTCATTTC